CTTTCAATGATGAGGTTTCATTCTTCGCTTAGTTCCTCATCATCAGCCCCCAAATCATTATTCACTTGTATGATTATGGGTTTTTGTGCAAAACCCTTTGTATCAATCCCCAATTCCTCAAACAACACCAACAAGTCTGACTTCTGCAGCTCCCTCCCGTAAGTCCATGATCGTACTGAGTACTCGATACTTCCAAAAATAACTTCCCGAAACGGCGAAACTGAGTCTTTCGGCAAAGTTAACTACCAGTTCTAAAATTTACCCTCTTTTAGAGCCTGGTTTACTCAAAGGAAAAGCCAAGCACTCGCCCTTACGTGATCCATGACGCGAGCCAGCTGCTTCCCGTGGGCCGACTGTTACTGTCACTTGCTTGTAGCTTCGTATCACACCGCCGATCACCAGTTGTTGCGGATGCCTGCACTGGTCACCAGTAGTCGCTTCGAATCCCAGCGCTGATCACCAGTTGTTGCAGACTAGGGTCTACCCGACGCTTCTCCGCTTACGTGGTTTGCCGGAACATCAGGGATACGTCGGACCCAGCCTTTTGTGGTAGCGTGGCGTAACTTCGAGTGGAGGAAACAAACACTGACAAGATGGGGATACAAAAAACAAACAGGTTTATGGCACTATCTACACTTATTTACAGCATAGAAAGGTTGAGAGTTTCACAAACCTCGAGCATGGTGGTTGAATCGTTACATGGTTTAGAGCAACGTCCAGCACTCTGCAGCGTTGTTATACACTCTGTCAGCTCCTCCTCCTTGATTGGAAGACCAATCACACACACAAGACACCGCGCACATGGAATCAGTCAGTAACACAGGGTCCGCCGAATAGTTATTGCACCTTTTGACGCGATACTCTGTAGAGAAGGGAAACGGGGTTTCTTTCCGGAACAACTTCGTGGTTGGGTTGCTTCTTCCACCTTTCCCAGGAAGGGTAGCGAAGGAGTGGATACTTCAATCGTGTATACACGACCTGTGCGGTCGCTCTACTTCGGTCTCTCACTAAGCAAGCCGGCCCAGAGGAATTGCTTGTAGGGACATTGGCTCACGGACTGTCTTCTAGTCCTTTTGTTGCTCCCCGCCGCTGGACGCTGGTTCCGAGAGAAGTGGGGTTCTGGGCGTGGGAGCGCAGCCCGGCTACGTTTCTCAGTGACAAAATGGCGCCTATTGACCCGGGTCACAACAGTATTTATGCGCATGCAAAACCTGGGAGTGTTCGCCAGCGCTTCTCGTAACCATGAAGCCAAGTGTAGAACACTTGTTTCAGGGGCGAAGCTCTTTAGGGTGTGGCCGTTCTCTTTCTGTAGCAGTAGTAGTAGTATTTAGCCATCTATAGTTTACGAATTGCTGAATAAAGGACGTTGTGAGTATGTGCCCTTGCAACATATCACTAGATCGCGTTAATGGTTTTCGTATAGGTAACGATTTCATATATTTGACAGACAGACAGACAGACGGACAGACAGACAGACAGACAGACAGACAGACAGACAGACGCAGCCAATGGATGATTCACGGTTTGCCGATAAAACCTTTTCAAGCTTTGACCAACTCATCATCAATCACTATGTGGATACGCAGCAATTCTTTCATAAACTTTGTGGTCTAACCTCTCTATCTGTAAAATTGATTCAGCAAGCAGATCTTACAATAGGGTGAACTATAAAAATGGACATGGAGTGAAAGCTTCTCATTAATTTGCTTAACGATCTTGTGTAAAAACTAAAGTAATTTCAGTTGATTTTTTATTTTCTCTACTTATAAAAATGTGAAGAGAGTGCGTGGTGAGAATTAACTCGGATAACTTGAGAAAGAACAACGGCAGAGAAAGACAAGGTTTAGGTAACTATCGTTTTTTCTCGGGGTCCAGGTGCTATAATTGTGAGGGTCCGTAGTTGACCAGTTGTGTAATCACCACCCTGGGACGGCTTTATGCTCTCCCGTAGTAGAGTAACAAGTACTCTTAATCGTAAGCCACTTTTGATAAACACACACGATAGAAGAGGTTGGCGCTAACCACGGGATGGCTTTCAGCTCTCCCATAGTAGAGTATTTAGTACTCTAAATCGTTACGCACTTTTTCTAAAGACAGTTCATTGACGGGGCAGCTGGATACTGTCTCAAAGTAAAGTACAATGTACTCTAAATAGTCGAACATTTATATTAATTACGATGACAGTTATAGGGACATTCTAAGGTGGATTTCGCCGCCAACATCGATGTCGTGCACCGAATATGTATACGTATCTCTATATATAATAAAACGTAAGAAAGAAAAAAACATACCAGAAAAAGACTCCGGCGCGCTGAATCGAACGTGAGACCTCCGCGTAGTGAATGCGAGGCGTTGACCACTGTACCACCAAGAGGTACCTCCTTCAACGTTGAAACGGCAAGCTATACATATCTACCACTTACCACTGTTGGTGGGCATCACGGGGGGAACTGTCATGTTTTCAGCATTATCAGCAAGATGGCGCATTAAGCGCACGGCGGCTGTCATCTCACGCGTACTTTGGCCCGCGTAGAGAATAAGGGGGTGACATTCGATCACGTGCCCTTATCTTGCATTGGGGAGAATTGTATGTCTTGGCTAGCCTTCGAGTTTCGTCGGAGCGATTCGTTTGGAGTTACCGGGCGCACAATAAAAGGTCACTGCAATCGTTGCACAGCCTCCATTTGCGAAAATGGCGCGCTTTTAACACACAGCGAAGTAACGACGAATAGTACAGCGAAGTACGTTTCGTGCGTCCTTTGTGCGTGAGAAACGCAGGGCACGTTTTGAGCTGCTTGCCATTCTGCACGTGACCTTTGAATTTGTTGCTATCGCGTTCATTGCTTCGCATTTGCGGCAAATCTGTGACATTTAGGGGCGAAGCTTATTATAGCGGCACCTATTCGTCCCTCGTAGCCGTTGTAGTATGTAACAAGTATAACATTTTGACCTTTAATGCGGTGCCGGTGAGAGATTTCTTCTTTGCGTTGTTGAACAATAAAAATAGTGCTCAATGTACATGTCAATGGCTGCTAATGGGGGATGAGAGACAGGAGCGTTCGGCTTTTAGTTAACGCGCACGCTGCAATTCCCATTAGCAGCCATAGACATGTACATTGAGCACTATCTGACAAGAAAGGGTTGCTACGTTATACTCGCTGGGCGTAACCTTCATGGTTTTAGAAAGGTTTAGCGAGCATTGGGTTGCAGTGCCATTAATACAGTGAACTAGTATATGACATGAACTCGAGGTGGTTCAAAGGTGGGAAGTAGACACGAAGCGCAAGCCGTAAGAAAGTGTGTGTGGGCCACCCCTCGTTTAGTCCTTGGATTGTCCGCTGTATGGCGGTGCTTCTATATAGGGAATATATGATGACAAGATGCGAGATGGTGATACTTGGCGTGTTGAATAGATGGACGAACGGACACACAGACAGATGCATGGATAGATGCATGAACAGGCGCAGGGGCGGATGCATGGACGAACGCAGGGACGGCCGCACGAACACACGCACGCACGGACGGGCGGATGGACGCATGGACGGTCATACAGACGGACGCATGGACGGACGGAAGCAAGAACATGGACGGACAAATGCTACGCCCTACTCTCCATCATTCACTCCGTGGATATGCTGCCAATTTTTGTTTCGAACACTTCTGACTCGTCAGGCGTATTTTTTGTCGATGCGGCCTCATCAAATGTGATGCCCAAGGGACGGTTTTCCGCTCTCCTATAGTAGAGTACCGAGTACTCTAAATCGTCAGTCACTTTTAGGGGCGAAGCTCCTCTCAGTCTACCCTTGTTCTGCGTCAGGCATAACCGGCCAGATGGACAGATGGAGAGATAGACGTACAGACAGGTACACGTTCAGACAGACAAGTGGATAGACATACAGACACACGGGCATACAGACAGACAGACGGACAGAAAAAGAGGTAGAAAGATGGACGGACGGATGGACGGACGGATGGACAGACGGATGGACAGACAGACAGACAGACAGACAGACAGACAGACAGACAGACAGACAGACAGACAGACAGACAGACAGACAGACAGACAGACAGAGAGACGCTTCGGCCAAGTCATCATAATTCACTCCGTGGATATGCTGTGATTTTTTGCCTGCTTGAGTCCCGAATGAAGGTACAGAATGGTTTTATATTTGTTTTCAGCGCATATTCACAATACTTACCTCCATGCTTATATTTTTCTTTTTTTGCCTGAGGACGCACATTTTACAAGTTGGAAATTGCAGATTTATTTCTTTACGCATCTCTTATTGGGAAAACCTTTTTAATACTTTTGACTGGAAAATGCGATATGGCTTTGCAAGATGCTTTCTTGAACCAGTTTGTTCATGAACTTTTGAAGAAAAGTTGTAGCGCAATGCAACACAAGGACAGATAGGGAATCGTCTCGCCAGTCTTAATTTTATTACCTATCACTGCATTGTTTTGCTTCAAGACAATAAATGAGAACTCTATCCGTTAGGTCCACTCTAAGTTACGTTCTGAATCAATTGCAGCACATCAAATCTCATCAAAAGTTCTCCACTGGTAGCGTCGCGTATGTGTGTATCGGTTATATATATATATATATATATATATATATATATATATATATATATATATATGTGTGTGTGTGTGTGTGTGTGTGTGTGTATGGGATATAACACAACGGGAGCGTTGTCAACAAAGATAAATATATTTATCTTCCTTGTTGACAACACTCCCGTTGTGTTATAACCCAATAACCCAAATCTTCACGAAAACGAACTGGCATATTGAAATATTACTCTCGGTATCAATATATATATATATATATATATATATATATATATATATATATATATATATATAGTGTGTATGTGAGCGCAAAAACTCAGAGCCAATGTGAGCGTTTTCGTCTTTGGTACTTTATGTATGTTCTTCGAGTACTCAATTGCCTGATAAAGGCGACTAGTTGAGGTTGAGGTGATACGTTTCTGTTGCAGTACGGTCACAAGAAGGCAGGTGGTGTGCAACATGTGCCGCCTGGATGGACCAACTGGAATGGACTGGTAAGCATCAACAGTGTGCACGGTTCGCACGACACTTAGGTGCTCTTCAATCCAGTTTCAATAGTAAATTATTTACCGATTACTTAATGAGTCCTTACCATGAAACATTAGGCAAGGCCAATTTTCGAAAGATAACTTGAGCGATAAAGGGTTCGAATACTAGGAGATGCAGTCGACACATATACCTATAACAATTAATAGACAAATACCTCATTATCTGGCCTCTTTCAATGTCGTTTACCTATAACCGCGAATTTCTTGGATTTGTGGGGTTTAGCGTCCCAAAACCATCATATGATTATGAAGGACGCACCGCGAATTTATTTGCTCCCTCACCAAAAAAAAACACCATTGTCTTCACCCGAAAAATGAATGGTTCAAAGTACTTTTTCGCGTCGACAATAATTTTGAAATGCAAAAAACGCCGAGCAGAAATAATCAATCATGAAAAATAACTTGTGTATCTCCTGTGGCATAAACCAGGACTATGAGACACACCATTGGTGTGAACTCCACGCCAATGTATAACTGTATAACTGTGTACAACTGGCACTACGTATAACTGGGACTTTTAGATGCGGAGCATCTAATACTCGAGGCTTGTAGTGCGGCGCCGTCCGCAAGCTTCCTCCTCCTTTTTCCACCATCTGTGCATCCCTTCCTCCTCTACACACCGCGCGCGCTTCACTCCTCCACCATCTGTGCACCCTTCCTCCTCTACACACCGCGTGCACTTCTCCTCTTCACGAACATTCGCTAGCTGTATAATGTAGCGCGCATGCGCCGTCACGCTTCGAGAACATCGGCAGCTGACGCGCGCGCATGCGCCGTCGCGCTTCGAGAACATCGGCAGCTGACGCGCGCGCATGCGCCGTTGCGCTTCTCCCCCTTCTCGAACATTCGACAGCTGACGCGCGCATGCACCGTCACCCACCATCTGTGCCGCGCGCGCTTCTCCCCTTCGAGAACATTCTACAATTCTCCCGATTCTCCAGTGGACGCGCATGCGCCGTCGCGCTTCGAGAACATTCAACAGCTGACAGTGCATGCGCCGTCGTGCTGTATATATACTCAGGTCGGCGCTCGCTCGCTCAGTTGCCGCTCGTCGGTTGGTTTGTACGGCGCGTCGACGTCCAAGGTCACGGTGAAATGAATTCCAACGAATCCACAAACACAATGATCGACGTCCCTTCGACCAGCGCCGCCCTTTCGCATACGTGTGTACGTGTTCACTCATTTAACACCCCCTCCTACAACTACGTTAACCAATTTAGCCATCGACCCAAGTAAGTCGCAATTTAACACCCCATTTCACAACCACGTTAACCAATTTAGCCATCGACCCAAGTAAGTCGCACTTCAACACCCCGTTAACCAATTATATGCTCCGCATCCTCCTCAGTGTTCCCCCGAGGGAAGCTGCGGGCAATTTTTTTTATTATGCACTAAAAATGGCAGATCCCAGGTACAGGGGAGTCCAAGATATGCGAAGCACGAATTAGAAATGTTGATGGGTCACTTTAAAATCGGCACAACGTCACGAGGTGGAGGTAATTGATGCCGTACATGACTTCCGTGTCATGATTATCATGTTTGGATGTGTCGTTTACATTCGTCATCTATTCACGTCAAGTGATATCAAATTTAGTATATGTGGTGCTAGCGAAACGGCCGTGAGCATGTTATGAGCGTGATATGTTGTCATGTTTTTACATGACACGCATGTCATGATTATCATGTTTGCACCAGTCATATATTTCGTGATCCAATGACGTCACGTAACACCAAAATTGGTATATGTGGAGCTAGCGAAACGACCACGAGAGCATCATGAAGGGCCTAATATAATCTAATGTAGCGTTGACGCGCGCGCACGCTGGGCACAGCGACGCTACGTTAGCAAAACGCGAGCAGTTTATAGTCTGACGCCAGGCGTGACAGGCGCGACCAGCGTCCGTCGGCGTGGCCCGACGGCAACCAGCGTGAAATTCGTGCCGATGCGTTACCCAGACAACACTGCGTCTCCCTCTTTTCATGATGGAGGAACGCCAGACGCGCTGAAACGCGCTTGAATCAAAGCAACGCAGCGTGGCGCACGCCTGCGATTACATGGCAAAACCCGCACCTGCCATGGCAAAGCCGGGGTGACGCGACGAAATGAACGCTGGTGAGCACGCGCACCGCGTCACATCGAAATGTATTGGCACCTTGAGTGTGGAATGTAGTCATGTTCTCACACGACATGCATCTCATGATTATCATGTTTGCACCAGTCACGTAGCTTCGTCATCCATTGACGTCACGTAATAAAAAAATTTGGCATATGTGAAGCTAGCGAAACACCAGTGAGCTCATCATGAGTGTGGCATGTAGTCAAGTTGTTACATGACACGCATGTTGTGATTATGATGTTTGGATGTGTCATTTACCTATGTCATTCATTCACGTCCCGTAATACCAAATTTAGTATTAGGGAAGCTAGCGAAACGGTCGCCAGTGCATCATGAGCGTGGAATGTAGTCATGTTGTTACATGCCACGCATCTCATGGTTATCATGTTTGCACCAGTCAGATACCTTTGTCATCCATTCACGTACTGTAATACCTAATTTGGTATATGTGACGCTAGCAAAACGGCCGCGACCACATCATGAGCGTGGCACGTAGACATGTCGTTGCATGACACGCATGCAATAATTGTCATGTTAGGGCCTGTCGCTTGTGTTCGCCATGCAATCATGTCATACCATACTAGTTTTGCAACAAGCCATGGGAACGAAACCACGGCAAGAGCTGCAGGACTATGAATTGTAAATCACGACATTCATGACATACATGTCAAGATTTTCGTGTTATGACTAGTCAGATATGTTCTTCATACAGTCCGTGTTCTTCATACAGCCATTTATTAGGAATGATCAACCACCAGTAGGGCACGAAATCAAAATTTGCTCAGGGATTTGGACAGCAACGTATGAGAGGGAGGAGTACCTTAAGTCCTGACGTTTAATCACTTTTGTACTTACTCAGTTTATGCGCAGTTAGTCGGCATGTCGTAGATCTAGTCAGCACAGAAGATAGCGTTTGATTTTTAACACTGGGTTTTAGGTTCTCATTTGGTCCCTAACTTTTACCAGTTACGCCACGGCCGACGCGTTACAAGGTTCCTTGGCCGACAATTGTGACATCATGATAGATAGATCATTAGTCTTCCCCAAGAAGCACAGTACTCTAAATGTATCAGCAAACCATCCATCTGATCACTACAAAAATAAGTAGCTCGTTGGTTTTATTTACTCTGATGTAAAGATATATAATGAACATGTTTTATAATCTTAAAAAAAGATTCTCATCATGTACCTTTTCGCGTTTTTGGCGTTTTAGTGGCAGCGTTAGCTGGTGTGCACGTCAAACGGGGATTCTGTGGTTGTGTAGAGATGCTCCTGTTCGACTACGAGTAAACTAGGTCATGTAGTTTGTGCCCATCTTGTCTACAGTGCTCTTTGTCTCCGTCTTCGCGCCTAAGTTTTTACATATTTTAGTGCGACCAACCAGCTAGAACTGGTTTTGATGCTGCCTTGCAGGTGGGGAACTCCGTGTACTACAACTACACGCTGTCCATTAACGGCAGTGCCGAGAAGCATGGTGACAACCCGAACAAGGACTATCTTACCGATGTATTGGTAAGCTGACATTGCTACTGCAACATGGCGCCACAGTGCATTTGTTCCCTTTTTACATGTGAGGCTTGCTTAACACTTACTTTGCTGGTTATTGTAATTCGCTTTGACTTTAAACTTTTGCTAACGTCTTTGTTAGGTGTTTTTCTACGTTAGAGGAAATCAGTAGAAGACGAACAACTGTCAAAAACTAGTCAGACTCCTGGAAGCAGCCGGGCCGCTTTCGTCTACCTACAGAACCATCTTTTTGCGCACTGGGTGCGCCAAGATGAAGCACATGCGTAGAACAATAAATTACAACACCAGAGCTCAACTCTAACTTCTGATGCATTGCTTCAGGCAGTACTGCCGGTTGCGGTTAGTGAAAATAGCGCTTGGTACTGAAAAGTTGATGCCGGATTATTTTAGTAGCTACGGATTCATGTGTAGTAGGTTGCATTCCTGGGACAGGTTCGGTCCCATGCAAATAACCTTCCATGCTCTCAATGAATATGACCCGGATCATGTTCTGTCATGATGGTGAGGCCTTGGCATTATACAGAATCATGCAGGCGTTGCGGTGTCACAGATTTGAAAAAAATCACGTGGATATTTTTTCCGTGGCGAAATATTTTTCATTCGTCATTTTAATTGGCAGATCCTACGTAACAAGTGGATAATTGTAACACGCATACATGGTTTGCCCGCAGGGTAAGGCAAAAGGAGGATCCAAACCTCCTGACCAGGTCCTACCGCACTGGGGTAGCAGAAGCAGCAGATTTGAAAATAAATAAGTCAACTTAAGAAATTCTGAATCAACAAGGACATAATCATTATTATAGTAAGCTTATAATCACCAATATAGTAATAACGTTGCGACAGTAATGGACATAAAGTAATATTGTAATCACAGGAACAACATAAGCACTAATGCAATAAAAGCAACAAACATCAATAATGTGGTAATTAGCCACAGTAATAACAATAACTTTTAATAACGTTACAATGCAATAGCCGATTATCATTATTATTTCTGTAGTGAAAGTTACATTAAAAATTGAACAACACATCCGCATCTGACTTAAGGAACATGTCCATTATTAAATGATTAAATTGTTGAATCGTTTTACAATTTCTGGCTACTTGAACAACAGTTGAATACATATTGCATAAACACATAGTCTCATACTCGATGGTTTGCATGCCTTAGTTTGTCCTGGGTTGCTTAGTTACCATTGATGCGCTGCGTAAACTGTATCCTGTTTCTCGACTGAGGTACCAGTTTGAAAAGCCTCAAAGTTTGTAGGGACTTCCTTAAACAGTCGAATGCAGATCTTTACTCTGTAAGAGTTTGTAGTGTTAATAATACTGTAACGCGCCATTAATTTGGAACACCCTATGTTTCCAATTGAAAAGTTTAGCAAACGAACAGCTCGACGTTGTAGTACTGCCAATTTTTACAAGTCTGTTTTGTTTCCGTTTCCCCATACTGATAAGCCATAGCTAAGCTGAGAATGTACAAGAGAATAGTATAGCTGTCTCACGAGCTTAAGTGGCATATAGCATCAAATTCGTTTAACAGGCCAACTGATCATGCAACCTTAGCTCAAACTTTATTTATGTGCTCAGTCCAGCTTAGGTTTATATGAAATGTAACACTTAAAAAAGAATGGCTTGTCACATCCTCTAGTTGCATTAATTGGCTATCCCGTGCAGATTCAAACTCCTCTAAAGCAGATAAGCATCTTGCCCGGGTAATATATATATACATCAGAAAGCATAGTGTTGGCTACTTCATATCTGTTTCGACGAATTCGAGGCCACGATATATGGCGCGTGATGTTTTGCTAATATAATGGGTAAATCATCCTTGATTTCAGAGAAGTATGGCGCCACATGCTGTGTGTCGCAAAATTTGACATATCTACTGAGTGTCAAGGCTCAATTGCACATCCTCTTCCTCCTGGCTGAGTCCAAGGCAGTGGATCACTGGTACCCTTCTCTCCCCACCCCCAATTTTTTTTTTAATTTTGCATAAGTACAGACTGTTTCAAATTTCTATGTACGTCTGGCATCGCGATGCGACTGGCACTGCAATCGAGCGCCCGCTGCAGCTCACGCGTGCGCAGACGCTTCAAGGAGTGTAGAGTTAAATCACGTCGACTGCTGCGGTAGGGCAAGTGCTGCCAATGGTACTAGAATCGTGGGCGTGCCGCATTATGGGCCAGTGCACGGATGTCATTGTTAATGCGGTAACTGGGCCGATATTCTCCACTAATAATTTTCAGAAACATGTGCGCCACAGATAGGATACGAATAAACAAGGAAAGACGAAATCGCGCCTCCTTTCTTTGCGCCCCGTTTTGGTGTACAGTTTTTCAACTGTTCCCGTACCAACTTGCCCAAGTTCAAACGATTGTCTGCAATAAACGTTGTGCATTGATTGATTGATTGATTCATTGATTTGAGGGGTTTTAAGTCCCAAAACCACGCTATGATTATGAGAGACGCCGTAGTGAAGGGCTCCGGAAATTTCGACCACCTGGGGTTCTTTAACGTGCACCCAAATCTGAGCACACGGGCCTACGACATTTCCGCCTCCATCGGAAATGCAGCCGCCGCAGCCGGGATTCAAGCCCGCGACCTGCGGGTCTGCAGTCGAGTACCTTAGCCACTAGACCACCGCGGCGGGGCAATAAACGTTGTGCAGTGCCAAGCTATGAACCTTTATTCGGTATAATGTGGTCCTACAAACAGTATTTGAACCCATAACTTGTTTGCTCTATCCAAACATCGTGGCAACGTTTGCATTCACAAATGTTTCTTTATTTTGTGTGCGCCACAGAAAGCTTGCATGACGAAGACACGATAATGAACATGCATTGTACGTGGTCTCTTATTGACTTTAAATAAAACAAAGCACTCAGTTGTGACTGCTGAGCAGTTGAGCGGGTTTAACCCAACAAAAATTCGAAACAACTCGGGAATGACTTTGAATAGGACAACCACGTGAACGTCCTTATTCTCGACAATATATAATCACAACAGAAAGGATTCACTCACCGGCACCGAAATGAACTCATGACGCTTCCAAGTTCATGGCCCCAGCGGTAGCGATGATGGCACTCATTCTAAACGGCAGTGAATGCACGGTGTCAAAGATGTGTTCCGCCAGAGCATGTCCCATTCGTTGACGATGGGGGTGGGCCATCAGAAGATCCAGATTTAGCTGAATAAAACAAGGGCTTGTCTGCCATACGTTTTTCTCTTTTTTTTCAATTTTGTTTCTTTTCTAAAAAGAGCAGCAATGAATGAAATAGTCAACTTCGCGCCAAATTGACAACTATACTGAAGAAGAAAACACATAGGCTGTACGGGTGCTCACTTACAACTGTTTGTTCCTTGAAGAAACAGGCTATTATTAACCCAGTTCTAGTACACATGCGCAACATGCTTTGGCCGTCGCTTACCTAATGATGCTATCGGACGCATGCCCTCTAGATAACGTGCTTCCGACTCGCACAGGTTGAGTGACGTTCCGCTAACAATTTATACCCCATTTTTTTAATGTAATAGGCTTCCAAAATGACCTTGCTTTTACTTTTTTTCAAGATACTAATCTGCATGAAGCATATTGTGTATGCACATGAAGTAACATGAGAGCTTAAGTGCGCACCGACCTTATTCTTTACTTTGAGAGCGTGTTCTCTTGCTCGATCATTGACGCAGCGCCCTGTGTGGGCAACGTAGCTCTTCCAGCACGACAGAGATATTTTGTAAGTCACTCCAGTGGCGCACTTCATGACATTCCTGAAATAAGCCCACATAATTTCCCCTTCTGTGTGGTTGTGAATTTGGCACAAAGTTGAGTCTTTAATTCAGGCCTGTACCAACTAGCCCAACATCGAGTTTGACAAGTAGTACTCTGTTGCTTGTTTGGTTTACCATGTCCTTTGTACAACGAAAAGAGTGACTTCAGATTATTGAACGCTGTTGTAAAAACTAGACTACATTTCGGAGCCATCTAGCGAGACTTGTTGAGACCCGCCGCGGTGGTCTAGTGGCTAAGGTACTCGGCTGCTGACCCGCAGGGCGCGGGTTCGAATCCCGGCTGTGGCGGCTGCATTTCCGATGGAGGCGGAAATGTTGTAGGCCCGTGTGCTCAGATTTGGGTGCACGTTAAAGAACCCCAGGTGGTCTAAATTTCCGGAGCCCTCCACTACGGCGTCTCTCATAATCATATAGTGGTTTTGGGACGTTAAACCCCACATATCGATCAATCAGCGAGACTTGTTGAGGCTTTCTCCTCCCCTAAAGCATTCCTGAATTTGTTCCCGCTTGTTTTATCGGGTTAAGCCAGTGCAGCAGTACGACTCTTATGGTTGAGGGATTTTTGTTGTTGAAAGTCAAATCGAGACAACGCACATTGCGTGCTAATTCTTGTGTCTTCCTCATCGAAGTGTACTGCGGTGTACATACATTGAAGAAATATTCATCAACACACACAGCACCACTGCGTTTCGGGATAGCAATCAATGTATGCCGTCAAATGGTGCTTGTAGCACCCCGTTATCACAAATAAAGGCTGAAAGGTTGGCGACATACAACATTTAGTGCATATTATCATCCCAGTTTCTGCACTAACAATGGTATTCGCGCGCTGGCCAGCAATGCGGTAAACAAGATCCACCGTATACCAGACAGCACGGTTCAAAACTACTCGCCTGAATCATCTGCGCACGCATTGGCTGTTGATGGCGCATGGTGGCAGCGCTGGCTGCATCATGATGCCACGTGATTTGAGATTTCCCCAGTCTGAAACAGCCTGTACATGCGCACGCAGGCATACAAAAGACACCACGAACTTGAAGCAAGTGTAATTTCACTCTACCCCCCCCCCCCTTTTGAAGAAAGATGTCTGTCTATTCTGCTCACGATCCACGGTCGTTGATGCGTGCCTTGAGCAACAAAGGTATGCGTTTACAGTTAGCAGCTCCTCAGTTCTACATCTCCCTCCTATTTTCTTCGTAATTTTAGCGGTTGAACACTTCAGTTTAATTGCCAGTGTTTATGCAATCTAATTACAAAAGTGCGGACGACGCGGATGAAATCTGCTTCGATACGTCCTCACCTCCTTGTCACTGCAGAGAGCCAAGGCCTTGTCATTTCTGGAGGGCCGAGCAGACAGGCGGCGTCCGTTCTTCATGATGTTGAGCACGCCTTCGCCGCATGCACCGTTCACACCCGCGATCCGCCACAGGAACGCATTCCCCAACGTGACGGCACCCAGGACGCCATCCTTCAACACCAGCGTCAACGGGGTAAGTTACATATTTACGACAGCTTGACAGAACGCTAAAAGAGAGGAAAATCGATAGTTTGTTCACTTTTCGGGTCCATGCGCTGTTTGTTTCTCACAACATTTAATTCATTGCTTTACGCACATGCTCAGAACACATATAAAAGAGAAGATAAAGTACCTAAGCTGCCGAAAGGCATTACGGCACTATTTACGTAACAACAACGAATAGAAAGTGTCGATGGCAATGATGGTAAGTATTGTGTTATGTGATTTTTTACCTTTCTCGAGACGTACCAACATAGCAGCGTTGAAAAAACTGATCATGCTGTATGCGTTTTGTTGGCTTCATGGTCTCATCTATTGTGTTTTTTAGACAAAGCACTGGCTAGTGCGACAGGCCATCCACCCTATACCAGAAGATGTGGTTTCCTGGATTGACGAAGCCTACAGAAATAGGTAACGGCTGAATGTCAGTGCTCATTGTCAGTGCCCAATGTCAGTGCCCAAAGTCCATGCAAAGCCACAGCCACCTTCACGTGCATGATTAGATTTGCTAAAACAAAGTGTTTCCCCACAGGCACAGTGTTCGTAGTGTAGATAGCGAGAGGGAATTACTTTACTCAAGAAGGAACCCCAGTACGGCTCTGCTAAACAACGGCACAACTAAGTTATCAGATAGGTGTAGAAGATTTAGGTGTTTGAGCAGAGCCTTCATGACGTATGAGACACAGTCCACCAGCCCCTTTTCCAGGGTCACTGGCATCCGTTCATCATAGGAGTGTACCCGAGGCGCCCATCTAAGGCTGTATAGATGCCCGGACAACCCTACAAAGTGTGGGATTCATCCAGGAATTCACCACACGTAGTAATGACGCACTGTTATCCCGATCGCAAATTTCTGAAATGCCTCAAAGATTCGCACTCTTTTCTTTCGGGCAAGCTGTTTATCTTGACATGCCCCTGCAACCCTGCTGCGCCCACTATCTCCAACCTTAGCCGAAAGGAGTGGATGGGAGGTGACCCTGATTTGCTGCTCTAACCCTACGGCCCAAGAGGCCTTAGTTCGACGAGCCTAGGAAGCAGCCGACGCCAATAGGGTCCAGTACTAGGGATCCCCACCTACTAGCTGTGGGTGCGGTTATCTTATGAGGTGGTCGCTGCATACTTTCCTTGTTTGTATTTTTTGTTAAATAAATGTACTTGCCACCATAATCCTGACTTGATAATTGCTGCTAGTATGCGCTCTCAGAGAGTTTTCTAAAGTTGACTATAGAAAACTTTCGCGCTACAACGGTTCAGCGAATGATGGAAATGACCTGTAGTATACATTAGAAAATTAATGGGAGTTATGCGTGACACACAAATTTGCCAAGTGTTTGTGCTTGCGGGCTTCTAACACACTTGTGGCTTTGTTCAATGTTTTGCTTTTATTTTTTTTGTCGACTATAAGAAAACGCCACTGGGAACTGCGTGACCGGATTTGAATTGTGGAGCTTAATAGGTTGAGGTGGTGAAGTGCTGAACATTTGCTGACTCACATTTTGCGACAAAGCAACTCCGAGCTACGCAAAGCCAAACGGAGCCGAAACTACAAAGATTAGGGAAATGTCTCTATTACCCATCATTTTCATGCTCGCCGAATCAGCATGCGTTACAGCGCTCCCACGGACACTAGCACCAGTGTTCTCGCTAGTTTATTTATAAGAAACTATGTGCGCTTTTACCCAATGTCATACTCATTAGGTTTTCCCTCTAGCATGAAATAATTACCCGCTGCCAACTGCCAAGTTAAGGGGCTTTCTCTAAGATTTTACAGTGTTATGGCTTACGCTGACAAACGCTCTGATCACCTACTCGAGGTGAGAGAAATGATACCGAAAAGGGAAGCATTGAGAAACTGATGAGCATCTTTCAGAAGATGATGACAACGGAATGTTAAGAGGGATGATATTTCAATTTCTCAAGTACAGACCACTTTTTTATCAGCATTCGATCATATACACCCTTATTTGCCATAAAGGGGGCAACAGTTATGCCGTGGTAACGAGACGTCTCCACACGAAAGTTGATTTATGAATGCCGCCATAACGTGGAAAAAATTGTCCTTGCAAATAAATATGACTGAATTTGTACGTTCCAAAACTACGATATCATTATGATGGATGCCGTTGTAAAGCGCTCCAGAAATTTTGACCATCTGATGTTATTTACCGCACCCTGACATTGCCTCGTTCAAAAGGCGACTGCCATGGCAGGAACGAAAATCATGACTTTTCGCTCAGCAGCTGAGCACATTGACCGCTGCACCACACTTACTCGTAACAGCGAAAAAAATGAATGCCTTGCCCAAGAAAAGAAAAGTAGGCTTTTTTTCTTCGCAACTTTGTCTTACAGTGAAGCCCTACTGTTGTATTGCGAGAAAGCATTTGCGTCATGCAATGACTTCATATTGTCACGGAATCGTGACGTGGCCAAAGACGGAAAACTTCGTGTAGGGATTTAACTGTTCATTTGGGCGAACCTGTGCCCGGTAAAGGGAAAGCCTAATTACAGCAGCAGTCTTGCACAGATAGCAGTCTCGGACTGATAGCGGCGAACGCAGCGTCGGCCTTCGATCAACAACTCAACAACTGACTACATTCATGACTACATTCCATGCTCAACTGACAAGTGGCGAAGCGCGTCGGCATTTATACCCTTGCCGTCGAATGTTCTAGCGTTATCGCTGGCGGTGGCGTAGGTTCCAGAACAATCTGTACCGTTCGCACAGTGGGCGTGATCTTATCGAAATGATCTACTACAGTCCGGAACCTTCTAGAAACCTGCAGGCACGGTTTGCGCCGAGAATCGTGTGGTGTCTCGGAACGATAACAAAAACTTGTGAAATGGAACGTGGCATTGCCCCCCTCTAAAAAAAAGGCATCGTCCCGATGCTTTAACTAAAGATGAAGGTACAATAATAATGCAAGAAAGTACAATGAATAAATTACAATACAACAATAATACAAAAAAAACACTGTTTCAGTTTGTTAACGTGCATGAAACGGCTTAAGGCGCGCGACATGGACGACTTCAGATCGCGATCGGCGTCGTTGAGAGTTCGTGATGCCGTCGGGGACAACCTCGTAATCAAGTGGGCCGAGACGTCGAACCACCTTGTACGGTCCGAACGTACAAGGTGGTTCGGACCATACAAACCAAGACCATGACCTCGCTGCAGTCGAGGTCATGGTCTTGGTTTTCCGCGCTTTGTCTTGTAGCAGGCCGTACTCCGGTGGGAGACCTTGCTGTCGGCGGCTCGTTCGCTGCTCTTGGTTGGCGTCGGTGTCTTCTACGCGAAGGGGGCTGGGTTCACGGCTTGACGGGGGCGTCCGGTACATGAACGAAGCAGAGGCTCCACCAGATGTCACGGAATCGTGACGTGGCCAAAGACGGAAAACTTCGTGTAGGGATTTAACTGTTTATTTGGGCGAACCTGTGCCCGGTAAAGGGAAAGCCTAATTACAGCAGCAGTCTTGCACAGATAGCAGTCTCGGACTGATAGCGGCGAACGCAGCGTCGGCCTTCGATCAACAACTCAACAACTGACAAGCGGCGAAGCGCGTCGGCATTTATACCCTTGCCGTCGAATGTTCTAGCGTTATCGCTGGCGGTGGCGTAGGTTCCAGAACAATCTGTACCGTTCGCACAGTGGGCGTGATCTTATCGAAATGATCTACTACAGTCCGGAACCTTCTAGAAACCTGCAGGCACGGTTTGCGCCGGGAATCGTGTGGTGTCTCGGAACGATAACAAAAACTTGTGAAATGGAACGTGGCAATATTATGTTTTCAATTACACGCGCACACATGCACAGTCCTTGGTCACAGTACGGGCATCAAGAGGTTTAACAAGTGTGCTGGCCACAACGGTACTTAGCAAATGGTACGTGAGCAAGAAGTTCATGTTACTTCTTAGATGCGAAGCGTCTCGTGATCAAGCT